AAGAATAGGGATGAGACGATGGGAAGTGAGATAAATCTACCTCAGGATGATAAATTCACTTCTGAAAGAGTTATTATGGGGGGAAAAGGTGTCTCAACTGAAGCTTTATCCCCAATCCTTTGTTTTCATATAACATGCCAAATTTCTCAAATTCTATTGCTCGCAGGGACAGAAAGTGCAGTGAAATCTTCTGAACAGGGGCAGAGACAGCAAAACAAACACCACAGGGGTACCCACCCTTTCTTTTGATATCCAAAACTCTCTCTCTCTCTCTCTGTATTTATGTATGGCTGGAGTTACACTTAAATGTACTATTCTGACTTACAAACAAATTCAACCTCAGAGGCGGCCCTAGGTAATTTTCAATGGTAAGCAAACAGTATTTTGGCGCATCCCCACAACCAATCACTGATATATATTTTCTGTTCGTCATGGGAGTTCAGTGTGCCATATTTGGTTCAATTCCATCATTGGTGGAGCTCAGAATGCTCTTTGATTTTAGGCGAACTATACATCCCAGTAACTACAACTCGCATATGTCAAGGTCTATTTCCCCCCAAGAGCACCTCAAGAGTGCCCCTGGGCAAAATCAATTATACTGCAAATGCTTACTTCGCGTAATGGGTTGAACCGCCCCTGTTCAAACTATAGAACTTATCTTGTTCACAACTTGGGGATTGTCTGTAGTCATCTGCACATGCACTCACAGCATAAATCCAACACACTCATGGAGGAAAACAGTCCTCTAGCAGATTTCCATTGTTTTCCCCTTCTGGGCAAGCAGGAATGCATTTGGTCTTGTGGCACATGCCACTTGGGTCAATACTTGGCAACTAGGGACTGTGTGAGATTCTCCCCTTGCCCACAGTCCCAAATGAGCACAACATGCACTAGTAGAATTGTAGTACTGGATGCCAGGCAATATACAATAAAAGACTAATAAATACATCAGAACAGTTTTTCTCTTTGTGATCTTTCAAATTTGCACAATTAACATGAACAAATTCCAGTCTGTGGCTTGATGACACTACAACGTTTGCTTTTTCTAGAAGGAAGAATTAATTCATTATTTGGATTGTATTAATTTGAAAGGATAATTATCACATTTCTTTGTTCTTTGTACTCCCAGATCTATGAATACAGTTCAGTTTTCTGAAACATTCTTGCACATCTGTTTCTAAATGTACTGATGTAGATTATTTCTCCTCTTAAACTCTTAAGAAAACTTTTAAACAGTGCTTCAGAAAGACTACTCCGACCTTTATATAGGGCCAACTAAGATGAAGCTGTATGTGAGGCGCCTCTAGATGTGGACTGGAGTATAACTCCCATCTATCCTCACCCTTGGATATTGTTGTGGCTCAGTTTGAGCCTGAGCTTTCTGAGCCTGAGTTTCCTCAGGACGAGGAGGATAATGGGTTACAGATTTCTGAACATGTCCCTGTTGTTGAGGCAGACAGTGTTGATTCTGAAGAAGAGATGGCATTTCTGTTTCCCAGAGAAAAGAATATTGTTTTAGATGAAGGTCATGATTTAAGTGAAACTTCACAGCTGCAGGTGAAGGAGTTGGCTGCTCCATCTGGGAGCTCAGTGCCTCTCGGTTCCAGGGTGACCAGTCCCAGGATAATGAGTTATCCGGTTTTGAAGGTAATGGGAATTTGATTATGGAAAACCGTTTGCAATTAAGGGTACACCAAAGTGCTCGGTTTGCCAACAAATTGGAAGTTCGAGATCAATGTAATGCTTTCATGCTAGGGAAACATATTTAACGATCTGATTGAAGTCAATCCTTTGTCAGTGCAACGTTGCTTACACCCTGTTAACTTCTCTGGAATTGCCTCGGCTTTTGGGGAAAACTCTTGGCTCTTTGGGATTTTGGTTTTGACCTTGGTTTTTGGAGACTTTGTCATGCTGTCATGGATTCTTGTTTAACCAAAGCTAATGGATAATGCTTCATGTTATTTGCCTTTGGACCATGGAATCTTTGCCTGTGCATTTAAGATTCTGTTTTGGCTTTTGAACTTTTGCAACTTTATTTCTATGTTTGTGATTTTGCTTTTTCTTCAATAAATTACAAAACCTACAGCCTTGGTGTGTGGTGGTGTCTTGGGCAAGGTGAATCTATCCTGAGCTGTGACAGATATGTTATCCAGGACTGATAGGCACTGTAATCCAACATTATCTGGAGGGCCACATGTAGTGAGGAGACGCACGTTCCATGCCCAGAACTACCCTGCAATGTGTATGGTTGCCCTGCATGAACATCAAACCACACAGAACCCACATAGAAATAGTCTGTGGTCCTGCTTCTATCTGCAGCCATACATAAATGTAACACCGATTGTACGGATTTTCAGAGAAGCATATGGATCAAGGGGAAAGCCCATGTAATTATATTCCTATTGCTGTGCTCAGCTGAATTAGCCTCTCCTTGAAACCAGCTATTAAATATTATATTGGCATAAAAACTGCCTTTAATGTAAATACATCTCTTAATGTTTTCTTTCTCTTCAAATTATTTTCTACAGACCCTTTTAGTACAAAATAACCTTGTCGAGCCATCTGTACAACTTAAAGCAATCCTGAAATGCATTTCCTGTGATTCAAATAATTTTCAAAAAGCTCCCATTCATCTCCTTCCTTTTTTGCTAGAATGAGACTAACATTCAACCCCGCTTACCCCAAGAATGCAGGCTGCCCGGATGGGTAATTAAAGCACTGTGTGTTTCATTTCCTGTTTCTAACTGCACTGAGTCCCCCCCCCCCCTTACTTTTTAAAGGCATGTTCTAACCCTTTTAGTTAACCCTTTGGAGACTTAATAGAAGCTAGTTTTGCCCAGCAAGGATGAAAATCTTAGCTCAACAGTCAAAGTCTCTGCTGACTGTGAAAAATAACTATCAGTATTCTGGCTGCATGCAGCAATATTATTCACCAACCATATGGGTTGTTTTAATGCATAAAGTTGTAAATATAAAGCTTTTAAGCATTTTGGAAGCTGCTTTGGAAAGAAACGACATTATTTCATCCTAGGCAATTTTGCTAGATACAAATCTGCATACAGAGCGAGAGCTAGGTCTGAGGCAGGAAAAGAGAAGGGACACTATTGTGGCTGTCCCACAGCTGCTTGAGGGAGATAGACACACCTTGATTCCCTACTACTTCCTATTGTGATGGCCTTTTCAGTTTGCCTGTCAAAAGTTGGACTGTTGGAGTTCAGAGACAGACAGATCTGCTCTTCCAGGGCTAAATCCAGTGTAACTCCAACAGGAATAGACTCACTTTATTTATTTCGTATCAAAAGCATTGTATAAATTAGTATAAAACTAATAAAACTAGAAGAAACACAGGTGGATAAATATCTTTTGACCAAAAATGGGCAACAGCAATGGCATTATCTGTAGTCTCCAACAATTCTTCCTCTGTACATGAGGCAGGGCACAGTGGACAAGCATACAGATGCGGAATTGTCTCTCCTACTCCACAGTCACACAAGGTGTGGGATTCTTTTAGGTAGTGTCGCTTTGCCAGGTTGTCTTTTGATCTGCCCACTCCACTTCTGAGTCTGTTCAGGGACTTCCAAGTTGCCCATTCTTGGTTTGCCCCTGGAGGAAGACCCTTGCGGGGGGGGGGGGGGGGGGCATCCAGTTGGGATTTTCCTGGTTTAGCTGCCCAGAGGGATATCCTTGCTGTTGCTGGAACGCCAAGAGGAGTGGTAGTTCTCATAAAGCTTTCCCTTTCAATCTACTGGGAGGAGGCTAGTAGCCATGTAGTGGGTGGCTTTCACAGTTTTCAACCTTATTCCCGTCACACATCGGGGTGGGGGGGATGCCAGTTAGCTTGTAGAGTTTATCAACAGGCGTAGGTTTAAGACATCCTGTAATTATTCTGCATTCAATGCTATGTCCACCTGCTTTGCAAGGGCAAACCTAAGCCAAACAGGGCAGGCATACTCGACAGTTGAGTAAGACAAGGCTAGGGTTGATGTTCTTACTAATTTTGGGTCTGCACCCCATGTGCTGCCAGTAAGTTATTGTGTGCAGCTACTTTGTGCTTGGTGTTTCCAATATACTAGTGTTCGATCTAAGGTGACACCGAGATATTTAGAATGGAAACAATGTTCAAGCTCACTGAATAAATATGACTTGTTGAGTAAATGCTTAATGCAAACTCACCCACTAAGCACAATAATTTCGATGGATGTGTACTAACTGGAATTGGGTTGCCTCCTTGAATTTAGTTTCCTGTCTCTTTTAATTGCTCTTTTAGTTTTTTTTAAGTATATATTGATTTTTTTTAATGTTTTGTGTTAGAATCCACCTTGAGTATTAAAAATTTCCCATAAAGGCAAGTTATAAGTGTTTTAACTACAATCACTCAATAGGCTTGAAACTCACATCATTGTCATAAAGCCTTACTCCTCAACGCCTGTGTGATAAATTCAATCTGACATGCAGCCTACATATATGTAGGTCATTTCTCCCACCCCAGAGAAGCCCCTTCATCTCAGAAATGGTACATGGCAGCTACTTAACACGGAAGCTTTAGGACAGCGAAGCTTTAGCATTGCAGGCAGATGGGGTGGGCCAAAGAAAGGACAGAGACATCAAACAGTAGCTGAAAACAAACTAGGGCAGGGGGAATGACTCCTTCTCCCTGACTTGCAAAAGAAAGGTGGGAGATTGATTCTTAATTCTAGCTCTTCATCAGATAGAGGTACTCCGCAATGGCAATCAAATACCCAAGCCATGGAGACAGCTGGATGGGGAATGCAAAGACACTCATTTCCTGCAGGATCCTGGAATTTCCTTTTGAGGCCTCCTGCCTACACACTGATCCAACCTGATCCTGCTTAGCTTGTCAAACGAGAGAGGATCAAAACCCACAAGGAAACCAGCTAATGGAGATTTCATTAATTAAATTAAAACCCTCTTTAGTTGCACAGAATACAAACATTTAGTGCCACAGCATGCCCTCAGAACAGACAGATGCAATTTGTTACCTGCACAAGGAGTTCCAGCTTCCTGTCATCAAGGAGGTGCACTTGACACCGGCGGCCCTCTGTCATCTGGAAAAACAACAACAGTAAGAAGACTGGTTAATTCACAGGCCCAACTAATATTACAAGATGCTACTAGCCGATTGAATTTTTTGCTGCTCCACAAAATGTCACAGTTGATTCCCCACTCACTATCTAGCATTCCTCACCATAAGTCAGCATAAGGAAGGAGAAAAATAAATACACAAATCCTCTAGCTCAGTATTTCTCAACCTGGGAGTCGGGACCCCTGAGGGGGTCACGAGGGAGTGTCAAAGGAGTCACCAAAGACCATCATAAACACAGTATTTTCTGTTGGTCATGGAGGTTCTGTGTGGGAAGTTTGGTCCAATTCTATCCTTGGTGGGGTTCAGAATGCTCTTTGATTGTAAGTGAAATATAAATCCTGGCAACTACAACTCCCAAATGTCAAGCTCTATTTTCCCCAAACTCTATCATAGTTCACATTTGGGCACACTCAGTATTCATGTCAAGTCTGGTCCAGTTCCATCATTGTTTGAGTCCACAATGCTCTCTGGATATAGGTGAACTACAACTCCAAAACTCAAGGTCAATGCCCACTAAACCCTTCCAGTATTTTCTTTTGGTCATGTGAGTTCTGTGTGTCAAGACTGGCTCAATTTCATCATTTGTGGAGTTCAGAATGCTCTTTGATTGTAGGTTAACTATAAATCCCAGCAACTACAACCCCCAAATGACAAAATCAATCCCCCCCCCCAACCCCATCAGTATTCAAATTTGGACATATCAGGTATTTGTGCCAAACTTGGTCCAGTGAATTAAAATATATCCTGCATATCAAATATTTACATTACGATTTATAACAAGAGCAAAATGACTGTTCTAAAGTAGCAATGAAAATAATCTTATGGTTTATGAAGAACTGGATTCAGGTGTTGTGGCATTAGGAAGGTTGAGAACCACTGAGGTTATACATGGCTTCCCAGGGAAAAGCTACTTTGATTATTACAATCTTAGAATCCCCCAGCGTAAACCAAAAATGTAATGTTGTAAAGCTTTGATAAAAACTTTATTAAATATTCTTAACCTGTGGTCAACAGATGGGCTTTAGGTCTTCATGAACAGAGCACATAAATGATTTCCTTGCTCCTACCATTTACCTTCTGTTAATGTGAGTGCTGTGTGCATTGTCTGGACAATGGGTGCAAAGTTTTCAGTCAATTTTGAAAGGGTTTGCAACCAAAAACCAAAGAATCACTGTCCTTTGTGGCTTATTTGAGGCAAGGGGAAGAATGCTGATCAAACCTTGGATTAGTTTGAGAGTGTTAGAATGGTGATAGTAAAAAGTTATACAGCAGGGAGGAAAGGGATCAGTGGTTGATATTATTGAGTATCTGCCCACATCCAGGACTGACTACCAACCACAAAACTATCTGGGCCCATTACTGCCATGTCTCTTTGTGTATGTGACTGTCATATACTGTCTATCCCCATAGATCAGAAGAAAATGAGCAATGGATGAGATAGAGGGGAAGAAGCAAAAACTAGAACATGGCTATACAGCCTAAAAAACCTACAACAACCTAGAAGAAGCAAAAGCCAAAATTTTCTCCTTACTCTTCTGTTTTACCTTTATGGTGACAGGAAAGACACGAGCGACAGGGAAAGAATGAGTAATGGTGATAAGAATGAGATGGACCCAATGCTTAAGCTTTCACCACAACTAAAGCTGCCATTATGGTCTGGAATTTAGAGTGCCAATGTATGTGTGTTTGTGCACATGTTTAAGTGGCAAAAATGCTTGAAAACATTATTTTTTAAAGACTAATATGCCTACAATCCTCAAGTATGATCAAATGATCAAAATGTGGCCAAGGATCACATTCAACAATGAATAAATACAAGCACAACATCCAAAGAACATATTAGCAATACTACATATGTATCAGCCAAAGTAATTTGGCACTGTTTCTTAACAACAGATTCCTGTAGAGGTTAAATTTTAGAAACCCAACAACCTAGCATTTTTATATCCTAGCCTTTCTTCAAGTTAAAACCAAATCATTTGGTATGTTTGAAAAGGAGTTATTTAAACAACTATATATTCACATTAGGATTTTCAAGCAACTATGGTTTTAGGGTTCCTTGGTGGTGCAGCAGGTTAAACCGCTGAGCTGCTGAACTTGCTGACTGAAAGGTTGGCGGTTTGAAACCGGGGAGCAGCCCAGTTTCTGCCAACCTAGCAGTTTGAAAACATGCAAATGTGAGATCAATAGGTACTGCTTCTGTGGGAAGGTTATAGAGCTCCATACAGTCATTTATTTATTTATTTATTTCTAGTATTTCTATCCAGTCTCTTCTCTACCCCGAAGGGGGACTCAGGATGGCTTACATATAGTAGCCATACAACGCCGCTACCCAACAATTACAATAATAAAATCCCAATTAAACACAACAGTAATAATTAAAACAGTAATACATAAAACCATAAAACAATATCACAATGTCTTCAGCTGTAACGTAATTCCAGTCCATGTCTAGCTACAGTGCTCCTGAAAGCCTGGTCTCAAAACCATGATTTGAATTTATTTTCTAAAGGCCAAGACGGATGGGGTCGATCTTATCTCATAAGGGAGTGTGTTCCATAGGCGGGGGGCCACAGCCAAGAAGGCCCTGTCCCTCGTCCCCGGCAGACGCATTTGCGATGTTGATGGAAGCGGGAGCAGGGCCTCCCCGCATGATCTTAAATTATGAGGTGGGACGTAGAGGCGGATGTGTTCGGACAAGTAAGCTGGGCCAGAACCTTGGGGGTGTCTATGGACAACGCCGGCTCTTCAGCTTAGTAATGGAGATGAGCACCACCACCTAGAGTAGGACATGACTGGATTTAATGTCTTTACCTTTACCTTTAATGCACGGTTTTAGAGGATTTCAACATTTCCAAGTTACAGATTTTACACTATGAAAAAAACATGAAGCAGAACTGTGATTTGAACTCATAGACACAAATGTAGCTCTTTTATCTATTGAGTGGAACAAGCTCTCCAGAAAGTGATATATTAGACTTGGTTAGGTACAAAATAGTTCAAGGTAAATAGTTCAAGCTAAAGTGGTCTGATAATTGCTATGGAGTGAGGGTCATATAATCTAGAAATAGCAGGAAGGTCTATAATAGGCTTATTATTATTGGCTCTCGGGTATATTTTGTAGGACCAATAGATCACATTGAGAGCTATGCTATATTTTATTTATGTATTATTTATTTACTATATTTATGTACTGCCCCTCTCAGCCCAGAGGCGACTCAGAGCAGTTCACAAATTGGCAACAATTCGATGCCTCAACAATTATAACAAGTAAAAACAATCAAGAAATTCTGTTAAAAACGATAGCATATGATATAAAAATATAAAAACCATACAAAGCCTTAAAACATATATTGGCTCCTTATGTATATTGCTATATTGGCTCCTTCTAATAGTGGTGTGCACAGCTTCAGATCACAGGAGTTTAAATGACCCTGAAACACTGTATCCAGAATACTACATCAAAAATTCTAAACCAAACTTGCCTATTATGTCTTAGGTTGAGTAGTTTAAATGTTTCTACACAAAGCATCCTATTCGTACCATAAGATAACACAAATCAGAAACTCTTTATGTGACATTGCCGACAATCCATGATGTCCCTTTGGATAAGATGACATCAGTTTTCACCCTTCCTCTATTTCCCTGATTTTTTTAAATTTTAATACTGTAACAATGTGGAGTTTCTAAGTGCCGCCATACCTTCTATTTCAAAGCAGACAACTTGCAGTTGCATTATCTGACACAACTGCAAAGCTCAGAAAAAGGCAGGTTACACAACAAGCGCACCACATCAAATCCTTAAGTTCCTGGTTTGCTTGTGAACTCCTGAAAGAGTGTCAGCACTTTCTTGCTCTGTTCCACTGACAACAAAACCCAACTGTTGTGCCCATGTCAGTGTATTCCACTCCACAAAACAAAAGCAAAAGTGACCTGCTTTCTTTCTTATCACACAGAGGTTTCTGTAGATGACACTTTCATGAACTTGCCAAGGTACATTAATGATTCTGTTGCGCTGGTGTCCTCAGGATGTCTCAAAGTATTAACTCCATCAAAACCAAAATACTGTGCAAGGAACATGTTTATTATGACAATAGACAGATGTTTTCCCCAATCAGGCATACAAGTATCTTGGATCTCAATCATCCACACTGTATGGGGATTATGGAGATTGTGGCACATCACATAGGAGAATGACAGGTTGGTGTAGGTGCTACACAGTTTARTGAAAGGATGAACTGCTTTGGCTATGTAGGTCCTTTAGTATACAAAGTACCGTATATTCCGGGGTACTAGATGACTTTTTAGGCATGTAAAACCTTATAAAATTTTGGGGGTCATCTAGTACCCCGYGTATAAAATTAAAATAATAACATAGACATAGAGGGCACAACAAATACATGARGAATAATAATAATAATKATAATKATAATAATAATAATAATAATKATACATACTTTACTTATTAATTTCAGGCAAAAATATTATATGTGAAGTGCACATTTTTAAAAAACAGAGTGAATATTTTGAAGTTTARGCCCATATTATACAACTCCTTAGTTGTAAGCTTCCARGGTAGGAATGAGYGATTTGAAATCCTCAAAAACTTGTTGCATTGCAATTCCCATCAGTTCTGGCCAATTCTAAGGAATGARGGGAGTTGCCATCCATTCTGTATTCCTGTTCTAAGGGCATTGACAAAGAAATATTAGGTATACATTCACCAARAGTGGGCAATTTCTCCTTCTACATCTGACTTTATAGGCTGGAGGCACCTTATCTCTGTGATCTCTGGTCTCTATGACTAATGACATATATGCAGCATTCATTCAGAAAGGAAATTCCTCTTAAAGGAAGTTACTTGGCAACTCCCAGTTCTTGGCCTCTTTAAGAAAGGATTTTCTAGTTACCTTTGACATCAACGTAAAGCTTTAAATCTCATTTGCAGATTGCTGGCCCAAA